GGGTTCTCAGGAGTCGCATGTTTAGAACCACCCCCCTTGTGAGCGTGGAACCTTAATAGGCTCCTGGGCTTCAGCACGAACCCCCGTTGGGTGCTGATGGGAATTCTCTTGTGCACGATGCATTAACAAGTACGCTGAGGTGTCCCGGTTTGCTTGGAGGTGGTGGAACACTCTTGCGCAGCAGTTGGCTTAATATGAAACTATGCACGACCCCTAGTCTGAGAGGTTACTGGGGTTTTGATCGCTAGGCCCAAGCACTCTTTTACTGGTGCTTTTCCTCGATCTTCGTGCAAAGTACCAGGGCAATATGTAATCATGATTTTGAACTTTGAGAGATCAAAACTGACCCAAGGCTTCATTGGAGGCATGGGGAAGCAAACGTGGAAGACGGGCTTGGAACAGATGTCGATGGAGGAAAAGAAGTGGCCGCAGAGGTTCCCTTTGGGCAAGACAGTTGGGAGTGTCTCGGATGAAGGAACTTTAGGTGAGACAGTTAGGGTGTCTCGGATGATGGAACTTTGGGTGAGATAGCATAAACTATCTCGAACAAAGGTCCTTTGGGCAAGACAGTATACACTGTCTCGGCCAAAGTAGACAATTTTTGTTGTCTCCGGACTTTGATTTTGTGTGAGTTCGGATTTCAGAATCCAAACTTTGCAGGATTTTAGTGATTTTTTGTGGCCATCTCTTTCTTCTTTGATTCTTACACCCTTTACGCAAGAGCACGAGCGTGTGCGACACAAGTACGGTGCTTTTGGATGAGCTCCTTCTTCATCGACCAAGTCCTCTTGATGAGAACCCATTCTTTGATGGATTGTTTGGAGGAATTGTCAGTGATTTGCAGTTAAGGCGGCCGGATTACTTGACGCTTCCTTGTGTCCAAGTCTGTGTAGTAGCAAACTGCATCAACCTGTTCTAAGGCCTTGGCAAACTAACGAGCTTGGCATTGGTGTTGTCTCTGACGAGCCCTCTTCGTCAGAGTTGGTGAACTTTGGTTGAACAACTCCTTAACTGAGGAGGAGTCATTGTGAGAAGAGCTTCCGGCTCTATTGGTTACTAGGATAACATTGCAAGGTGAAGCCTCGACAACCATTGGGCGAGAGTTATCACCCTGAGCCTTCATTAGTGTTGAAAACTTATTCGAAGATGAGATCTCCTTGCACTTGTAGGGAGAGGAAGACCTTGATGATGACGAGGAAAGATATACTTGACGCAGACATAGAAACAAGAAGGCCGATCATATATCATTCTGATACCAATTAGCTCTGACAATAACATGTAGATAACATAACAAGCTTGAATCCACAAGCCCTAATTTTTCCAAGTTTAGGGAAGAAAACAATAGAGAAATTTCTCTTGATTCATTAATTGAAAAGTTAATTCTTGATTTACAAAAGAAACAAATATTTATAGTCAATTAACCCTAACCTAACCCTAATAAAAAAGAAAGTCTGAATTTAAAAGGAAATAACAAAAAATATGAAACTTTCCTAATCTGTCTCTGAGCCGACATGAGGCATGTCGAGTAGTAACACCTTTCGTGTCGACTGGCATGTGTCGACTAACACCTCCCTTTGTATCGACTGGCATGTGTCGACTAACACCACCCTTCATGTCGACTGGGGTGTGTCGTTCCGTCCTGTTGACTGGGGTCTCGACTAGGGTCTCGGCTGGATCCTCATCCTGTCGACTGGGGTATCGGCTAGGTTGCTTCAACTCGAGTCATCATCTTGACTCGTCGCCTCAAGTGGTCTGTTCGTCTAGGCTGGTTTGAGTCGAGTCTCATCTCATCCATCTGTTTAGTCGTCTCGACTGTTGACTCAACTCAAGTTAAGATGTTGAGTCGTCGTCCGCTGATGTCATCTCGGTTGTGTAGATCTCCTGTATCAGTCCCTCCTTCTTCAAAAGAACTCGTCTCTAAGTTCGCATCACTTGAATACAACTCGATTGATAGATGATAGTCAGAAATATCTGCCACGTTGAATGTCTTAGATATAGCCATTCCTTCTGAAAGATCCACAGCATATGCATAGTCATTGATCTTTTTGAGAATCTTGAATCGTTTATATCTTTTTGGTTTAACCTTGCTGTATGTTCCAGCCGGCATCCGTTCTTTCTATAAGTAACCCATCACTATGTCTCCTTCATTAAACACCTTGAGTCGCCTATTCTTGTCTACTCATGCCTTAAACTTTGCATTAGCCTTCTCGAGCTTTGTACGCACTTCCTCGTGAACATTGAAAGTATTCTTGGCCATTGAACTTGCTGCCTCGCTGAATTTGCTACTTGTCGGCAAACTAGATTGTGTTATCTCATCCTGTCATCTCAACTGTCAATTATGGTGTGTCATCTCATCTTGTCGGTTCGACTCGAGTTGAGATGTCGAGTCATCGTCCACTAATGTTGACTGGGCTACTTTTCTTCTCATCTCATCCAACACTTGATTGACTGCTTTTTATTCTCATCTCATCCAATACTTGATCTCCTGTATCAGTCCCTCCTTCTTTGGAAGAACTCGTCTCTGAGTTTGCATTACTCGAATACAACTTGATTGAAAGATGATAATCAGAAATATCTGCTACGTTAAATATAACCAACATAGCCATTCCTTCTGGAAGATCCACTACATATGCATTATCATTGATCTTCTTAAGAATCTTGAACGGGCCATATTGTTTTGGCTTAAGCTTGCTATATATTCCAACCGACATCCGTTCCTTCCGTAAGTAAACTATCACCATATCTCCTTCATTGAACACCTTGAGTCGTCCCTTCTTGTCTGCTTGCACATTAAACTTTGCATTACCTTCTCGAGCTTTGTGTGCACTTCCTCCTGAACGTTGAAAGCATTCTTGGCTATTGAACTTGCTGCCTCACTGAACTTGCTACTTGTCGGCAACTTCAACAAATCTTAGAGATGTCGAGGTGTCTTCATATAAACAATGGAAAAAGGAGACGGAGACATACCTGTGGAACTATGAATAGTGATGTTGTAGACGAATTCAGCATGAGGTATAACTTGATCCCACATTTTTGGTTTCTCCCCACATATGCATTGAATCAAGTTTCCCAAAGTCCGATTGACCACTTCTGTTTGTCCATCCGTTTGAGGGTGTGTTGTGCTAGAATACTTCAATGAAGTGTTAAATCGTCACCATAAAGTAGTCCAAAAAGTCGCTAAGAACCTAGTATCCCTATCTGAGATAATCTAACTAGGAACACCATGTAGTCGAACCACATCTTGAAAGAATAGTCGTGCAACATGTGGTGCATCTGAAGTCTTATGGTATGGAATGAAGTGAGCCATCTTAGTAAATCGATCCACTACTATAAAGACTGAATCAACGCCACTTTGTGTTCGGGGAAGTCCCAACACAAAATCCATACTCAAATCTTCCTATATATCCTTGGGCACAGGTAGAGGAGTATACAAACCAGTATTCTGCTCTTTCCTCTTTGTAACTTGGCACACTTGATAGCTCCTTACAAGCGTCATCATATCCTTCCTCAAACTCGGCCAATAGTATCTCTCCTCAAGACTCAAAATAGTTGTGTCTTGCCTAAAGTGTCCATCAAGCATGCCACCATGTAAGTCTTGAACTATTTTTTCCCTGAATGACATCCTTGGAATATAAAGCTGATTTCCTTTAAACAGGAAGCCGTCCATAATAATAAAGTCTCTTGTAGGTTGTCTTGTCAAATACTTTACCCAAACCTCCTAAAAGTCTTCATCATCAACATAAAACTCTTTCAAACTATCAAAAACAACAACTTCACCCAACAATATGCTTAATAAAAATACCCGCCGACTCAAAGTATCGGACATCTTATTGTCGACTCCTAACTTATGTCGCAAAGTAAAATTAAACTGTTTAAAGTATGAAGCACAATGTCCATGCATTTTGTTGATATGCTTATGATTCTTGAAGTGTTGAAGAGAGTGACGATCGGAGTAAATCACAAAGTCGTTAGCAATGAGGTAACTCTCCTAAGTCTTAAAAGAATGAAAAATAGCATACAACTCCTGTTCGTAAGTACTCCACTTCTGTCGAGCTTCATTCAACTTCTCACTCAAGAATGCAATGAGGTGCTTGTCTTGAGAGAGAACTGCTCCAATACCGACACCACACGCGTCACATTCAAGCTCAAAGAGCTTGTCAAAATCTGGAAATGCTAAGATAGATACAGTGGTAATCTTCTCCTTGATAAAGGCAAAAGCTGCATTTACTTCGTCGGTCCACTTGAACACACCCTTCTTCTTCAAACAATCCGTCATGGGAGCAACTATAGAACTAAAATTATGAGTAAAACACCGATAAAAAGATGCTAACCCATTAAAGCTCCTTACTTTAGTAACACCTTTTAGAGTCGGCCAATCCTTGATTGCCTTGACCTTATCTTCGTCGACTTGGATTCCCTGCGAGCTCACCACGAATGCCAAGAACACAAGTTGAGTCATCAAGAACACACTTCTTAAGGTTGATGTAAAGTTCATTCTCCTTTAGCACTTGGAAGACCTCTCGGAGATGCAACATATGCTCCTGTTCATCTTGATTGTAGATGAGAATGTCATCAAAGTAAACGACTACAAATCTACCCAAGAAAGGCTTCATAATTTGATTCATCAAATACATAAAGGTGCTTGGAGTGTTCGACAATCCAAAATGCATCACTAACTATTCGTAGAGGCTCTTACTACTCTTGAATGTAGTCTTCCACTCGTCGCCAGGTTGGATTCAGATCTGATGATACCCACTCCTCAAGTCAACCTTCAAAAAGATGCTCGCACCTCCCGGTTGATCTAACATATCGTCTAGCTGTGGGATTGAGAATCTGTAGCAAATTATAATCTTGTTAATGTCTCGACTATCCAAACACACCCTCCAACTCCCATCTTTCTTTGGTGTCAATAGGGCCGGAACTGTACATGGACTCATACTCTCTCGGATGTGGCCCTTCTTACTAAGGTCCTTAATAGTGTCTTGTAATATCTTCTTATCCTATGAATTCATGCAATAAGGAGGGAGATTAGAAAGCACTAAACCCATAATAAAATTAATGTGGTGCTGAATATCCCTCATGGGAGGAAGTCCCTCGGATAGTTCTTCAGGAATCAACACTTCGAACTCCTTAAGTAGTGACTTCATCTTCTCTGGAACCTCCATGGGCATCTTTAATTCCTCCTTCACCATGAAGGCAAACCTCTGCTTCAACTCTTTTGACTCAGCTATAAACTTTCCCTTGTTATAAAGAGATATATGTTTGGAATTTTGATCTTCGGGGCTCTTTGGAGAGGGTGGAATAGGTGGTATGATGATCTTTTTATTCATCCACACGAAAGAGTACTCGTTCTTCTTATCACCATGCTTAGCATCAACATCATACTGCCACGGTCGTCCCAGTAATACATGGCATGCGTCCATATCCACAACATCACAAGCAACAAAATCACTATAAGTCTTGCCTAGTGATAGTGGCACGCGGCATACTTTGGACACCTTCACAGAGGGACCCTTCTTGATCTATCCGATGGTATAAGGCACAAGCTTGGTCTCGATCGGCAATTTCAAGTGATCCACCAAGGCTTTTGACACAATATTCTCATAGCTTCTATTGAAAATGATGAGGGTGCACACCTTGTTGTTGATTGAACATCTAGAAATGAAAATTTGGTGTCGTTGTGATGAATCCAGTGTCTTCTGAGTGCATAGGAGTCGTTGAACAACACATGACACATTGAAGCCTTCAATCGCGACAACCTCTGCCTTGTACTCTTCTTTAGATGCTGTGTGTCTATCCTCAACATCCTCATAATCCGCAAGATTAACCTTCAGCCGTTGCGGGCACTTGTTAGACTTATGCCCTGGTTGTAGACATCAGAAACACTTCCAACAGTCAGCTTGGCATACAGACTTTCTTGAGTTGTTAGGGGCTGTGGTTGTGTTGTTGATCACTTGGCTAACCGTGGAGGAATAGGCCGATCAATCGTCCTTTGACCGATCGATTCTCCTCTCGTCTTCTCGACCGAACCTTCATGTTCAATTTGTCTGAAAGGTAATTATTTGGAGGATAATCTTTCCGCCTTGAGAGCCATGTTATGGGCTTCATCCATAGAGTACAAGTTGTGGATGGTCACCTTCTTTTGAATTGAATACTTCAAACCTTCGATATATTTGGCCACGAGTTTCTCTTCGCTCATAGACAAATAGCAATGACAAATAAGACGGAATAATTCTTCGGTATAGGCGCTTACTAATATGATTTCTTAACGATATTGCTCAAACTGGTTGTAGAGAATTTATTGGTAGTTGGGTGATAGGAACCTAGCTTGTAGTAACTGCTTCATGCGTCACAAAACCTGAACAGGTTCCTTGCCCTGCCGTCGCCTTGTGTTTTGAGTCTGATCCCACCATGCCGTGGATCCTCCTTTGAGATGATACACCAAAAACTTCACCTGGTTTGTTTTGGGAATATAAGCTATCTTAAAAAACTTCTTCACTTCGTAGAGTCAATCCAGGAATATGGAGGGGGGGGGGTTAGTTTGGACGTGGTTGATTTAGAGGCAGTGAACTGGAGGGGTTTGAGGATTGTACAGGGTAGGATGTCGGGGTAGCCTAACTTTGGGTCCGTTTAGGTGAAGACCGCCAGTGAAATTATTCCCATTGTTTATGTGAAGAGTAAGTCCTTTAATAGCTTGTTGAAGGTTCTGAAGTGATGCCTCCAATGTTTCAAATCTTCCACCCATAGAATCCATCCTCGCAAAATGATCCTGTAGAGAAAGCTCCTTCTCGTCATCACCTTCCATTGTCGAGGATGTTGAAGCCGAAGCTCTAATACCACGTGACACGGACGTAAAAACAGGAAGGCCAATCGGATATCATTTCGATGCCGATGAGTCCTAACAATAATAGGTAGATAAAAAGCTTGAATTCATAAGCCCTAATTTTTCCAAGTTTAGAGAAGAAAACAATGGAGAAATTTCTCTTGATTCAATAATTGGAAAGTTAATTCCCGATTTACAAAAGGAACTAATATTTATAGCCAACTGACTATATCCTAACCCTAATAAAACGGACCCGCTCAACCTTCAAGGAGCGCATTCAGAAGCATCGTGCCTTGATTGCGCACGCATGGATTCTCATGCAAGAAGCACAGAAGTTGAAGCATGAAGCCACCGAAACCACACCAAGTATTGAAACCAAAGTCTGAAACGACGTCGATAAAAAGTCAAACAGCGCTCGGAACTGTCGGAATGCGCGAACCACCATCAGGTGGCTCGGCCAAAACCGAGCCACCAAATGGTGCCTCGGCCCAAGCCGAGCCACCAAGTGGTGGTTCACCCCTGTTCGCACCCAGTTCGGTTCGGTTCGCACCTGGTTTGGTTCAGTTCGCACCCGGTTCATCTTCCGTAGTCCCATTTAGACCTCAAACAGCCCCTGTTTCTGTTCCGATGAAGCACACACCTCTAGTAGAGCCCCACGGTAGCATGGACTTATCCCGATTCAAGATGAGGATGGTGGATGGCCTAGGTCCTTTGCACGAGAATCGAGGCAAAGTTCTGATAAAAAAATTCTTGGTTCGGTGATTAAACCCCGTGCAACTACTCGAGCTGGGGGTCGCACACACCCTCACAACAATTTAGAGCTATTTTATATTAGGGAAACTTCTGTAACTAACCATCTCGGACTGCAAGTCAGAATACAAGAGCCCGTTAAGGTCCCACGCTCACGAAAGCGTGGCTCCAAACGTATACCTCTTGAGAACACCATCAAGGCAACAATTCCTCAGAAGGAAACATGTTCGTCAGACGATAATGTTATACCTAAGAAGTCATGCCAACATGTGATAGATTACTCTGGTCATTATGCCGATAAGTTATACTATCGGGCTGGGGGTACGAATAGATCTTGAAAGAGAGATTCTCGGAAGATGGATCTTCATTATCCGTGTACCAAGATAATCAGGACAGTATTATCAACATGTAGCTATCCTAAGACTACTTCACAGAGGATCTCGGTATTTGAAAGGATATCTAACGGAACGATTAAGTCTAAACCAAAGCGTTTCCGTGAGAAACGATCAGCCGTTCATGATGACGAACTTTCAAAAGTTACAATTAACATGGCTGATAAAGGAAAGTCAGCTCGACCTTCTAGTTATGACCCGCTCGTATCGCATCATCTAACTCGGCTACGCGTAGAGACTACTAGACGTAGGGATTATCAGAGAATACAAAGGGGATTATCCTTGGATGATGAAGTGTCATATGCCAACTTTTTAGTCGCTTCTGACAAAACGGTATCCAGTTTAGGACAATCCCGTGAAGTATTTATGATTAACACCGAGGAAATAGCCAAAATGGTTGAGGATGCTCTAACCAATCCGAAAGAAGTATTCAAAATCGAAATGGAAATGGCTATGCAGCAGATAAGGGAAGAGCATGACCAACAGATTCGGGCCTTGTCTAATTAAATTAGTGAATCTAGTCGTCACAATAATACCTACCGGATAGGTGATGATTCATACATAGACGAACACCTTGATGTGGATATCCTTCCCGTTGATCAAAACATTGGGGGTGGCTGCACTAAAGGTAACAACACTAGGGGTGGTCCCATCGAAGATGACAATGCCGAGGGTGGCCATGTTGCTCATCTTAGAAATCATCCAAAGCATGATACAGACGAGAAGATAAAAAATCTTGAGAGCAAAATCAACGCTCTGATGTCTGCTCGAAAGGTGAAGAAGAACAGTATTTTATGTCCTTACCCAAGAGAGTGGGAGTCCATCCCGTATCTGACGAATTTCAACCTGATCAACTTCACACTATTCGATGGGAAGGGATCGCCCACTCAACATCTGACCTACTTCAAGTCCCACTTGGGCATAATGTCCGATAATAAAACCTTGATGGTTTGGTCATTTGTTGGCACCCTTCGGGGACCTGCCTTCGATTGGTACCGTCGTCTCAAGCCTGGAATCATCAACAGTTGGAACGATATGGAGAGCTCATTCCTCGTCAAATTCTTTGATGATGATGCTAAGGTGTCAATCAGGACACTCTTCAATGAGAAACAGGAATACGACGAGACGGTTGATGGATTCGTCAAGCGCTTCCGGAATAAGGCGATGAACCGCTGAGATCCGATCACAAAGGACTTTATCCTTCAAACCTGTCACAACAACCTCTCTTTGGACGTGTTGGAAGTTATGGGGGTAGAACCGTCTGACACCTAGAAAGAGTTGAAAGTGCACGGCGAGCACGCCGAATGCTTCCTCAGAAGGAAGAAAGCCGAGAGAAGCCATCTGACGGCTAACCTTCCCAATTCAAGCTTTGTCTCATGTGGTAAAGGGAAGGCCCCTACAGCTGATGTTGATGCTAATCAGACGTCACAATAGCAATCCCAGAGACAGCAAAAAACTTTGGATCCGAGATTCTAAAAAGAGTACTCCTTCAAGGACAAAGACATTCTAGCCATTTTTAAATCCCTTCTTGAAAACAACAAGATCAAGCGACCACCTACCGCAAATCAGAAGGAAGCTGACATTACTTCGGATCCAAAGTACTATGCATACCACAGGAGGGTCCTTCATCCTACTAAAGCCTGCTTTGCTCTCAAAAATAACATCCAAACCATAGTTGAAGTTGGCGTTATAACGCTAAATTAAGCCAAATAACACTCCAAATAGTATACGAGTATAAACTGCTTCTTAATACTCTAACATGTATATGAGTCTAAACTATTTCCTAATTTTAATAGGAAGTTCCTGAAAGAATATCGTATGTGATATTCTTAAGTATAACCTGACCATTCAGCTAAGTACAATGTTAGACCCAGTTTCACAAAGAAAGCTGGGGGTGGATATAATGGGAAATTCACGAAAGAATGCTATATGTGGTGTTCTTATGAGTAACCCGGTTGCTATAAAAGGGGATGAAAAAGAAACTCCCACTTGAACTCTAAATGCTTCCAAGAGTGAAACACATCGAATTGCCGGGATCAGTTTCATGAACTTCCAAGCACTCTTTTGTTGAGACGAGATTTGATCATTTTGTTGGATCAATCTTCCCTCACAAAAAACTCTCACTGTTGTTGACAATATACAATCTTCCACCATAAAATCCCTCACTGATCAAATTAATTGACAGTGGTTCTACTAAAATTCTTTCTGGTTTAATCGATTCAAACTCATACTGTGTTTGTGTACTCAACACTTCCATTGTTAGACTCAGGACATAATGTTTTTAATTTTAATCTACAAATCATTGACGATTGTCAAACCCCTTCAAGTTAAGTTCTTATCACTTAATACCAAGAGCCCCCACTAAGTGATCGGTACAAGTCAACACTCCTATTATGATTTGTACTCCCACTATCACCGCCTACCTAGTCAAACCTTCCTATAGTTAGGGCCACAGTCA